GCCAGTCGATTTGAAACCTTCTCAATCAGTTATCACTTAGGCAACCTTGAACAATTGAACCTTCGTTACTTGATTTCAAAATTGAAAACAAACAAAACAAAAAAACAATGAAGTGGCCGGTCAAGTGGGTTATTGCCTTATTGGGATTTGGGAGTTTAATGTTTGGGAATTGGGATGGGGTAGATGGGAGAATTTGAAGTGTTCGGTAATACGGAGTACGTAATAGGTACTTAGGTAGTTTAGGGATTTGGGTTATTGGGCCACTGGGGATTGGGAGGGACACATTACATTCCTTTTATAATTTTTTATAAAATTTCTTTTATAATTTTAAAATTATGAACAAAATTAAATCATGGGCCTAATTAAATGAGTTTTAAAATACAAAAAAGATTATAAAAAAAAAGATTATTCAAAAAAAGAATACAAAAAAGAGTCCTACTCACGCTATATATAAAGAAAAAATTTTGGGCCTATTTTTTTTTCTATTTTTTCGGGCCTAGGGCGGTCGCCCCTGTTGCCCCCCCCTAGGACTAACACACCAAGGGCTAAAAACAAATAAGAATAAAAATAACATACATAAACTTCATAAGATACTGTTAGGGTCAATCAAATCTAATTTCAATCTCAAAATCCTAATTGGTCAATTAATAAATCTCATAACATACAAAGTGCACTAAGAGAAGTGTCAAAATTTGCAGAAGTTGTAGCCATTAATGCACTAATTTCACAACCTAAATCAAATTCAGAGCATCTTTTATGCATAAGCAAAGTGTAAAAGTCAATAAAAGCAAAGGGATAAAAACCTAGTGATTAACTCGTCAGGCGGGAGAAGAATCTGAGAACCCGCGAATCAGAAAACTGGGGAAGAATTTGAGAACCCGCAAATCAGAAAACTGGCGAATCCAAGAAGAACCTGAGAACCAACGAATCCAAAAGAACCTGAGAGGCGAGAATCGATGAGTCCAAGAACCAACTGAGTGAATCTGGATTCTAAAATCAGGGATAAAATCGAAAAGAAAATGGGGGCCGACTGTTAGCGCATGCCGGCGATGGAGTAGGAGTAGAGATGAAAGTCGGAAACACGGCAAGATAAACATGTTGATGACCGGTCCCGATCTTATCGGGCGGCAAGGCAAATTTTTTAATGGAGATGGTGAGGCAGATTATCTTAGGTGGCTAGAATTTTTTCTAAAGAACAAGGTTTTTACTTTTTAGCAGATCCCTAGAGTGATGTTTGTGTAGCGGGAGATTGATTTAGCTTGAAAAAAATAGGCGCTGAATGTGAATTACCAATAGTGAGGGTTTTAAAAATTTTTAATATCAATAAAGAGAGTAAAAAAATAACTTCTCATTAAAAGTATATATTTTAGTAAGAGAATTTTTACCCTCACAAAAGATCTATAAAAATTACCACTAATGAGGGGATTTTCAACCTGTCGTTAATTTTCGTAGTTAAAAATGGTTTTTCTTGTAGTGATTCCATACATCGGAGTAATAAAAAGAAGCATTTAATAACACAGATAGTCAAATATCAGATATGTAACACACCAACACAAGTGTAAGATATGTGTTGAAAATTTACTAAAACACAATAGTTTCAGTCCTTTCCATTCTTACACATAATAAATTAGATTAGTTATTTTTTATTATCATTAAAATTCTTGTTTTGGCATTTATGGGGAAAACATTAATGGCCAATCTGCACTGGAATGATTTTTGTATGCAGATTTCACTCATACAATAGTGTCATTTTGTAACTCAGCTAATTCTCTAGAGAAAATTATGATTATGAGTGGTCTGATTGGGTCATGACTGGTGAACTCTGGTTGAGTGGAGTAATCTTAAAGCTGCGTAACATCTAGCCTTCTGATTTTTCAGGCATTCGCTCAGTTATTGAAATCTCCCCAAGATGATGCAGAGTCAATCATCCGGGAAAGATTCCCAGTGCCTCGCCTTGTCATTTGTGATCAGCATGGATCCCAGGTATTAATATTTTCAACTCTTTACAACAACATCCACGCTTTAATCCCAAAAGAATTTGGGATCGGCTAATATTTTCAACTCTTTAAGTTAAAAAATCATATATGGACGGGCAGAAATTTTATTTCTTACTGAACTCTGAAATGAAACTATTATTATGTTGGATGCAGGCTAGGTTTTTGTTAGCGAAGTTGAATCCTTCTGCTACGTACAACTCGGAAGCCCCTCCTGTTCCTGGAGGGGATATTATTTTCACTGATGATGTTAGTTTTGAAGTCTTTTTAGATCATCTTCAGCGTCTGGCTGTTCAATAGAGATTTATGTTTCTCCTTTTACATTTTCTTACGTAGGGGGACTCAATTTGTAAGGTTTGCTTTGAATTGAGTGTACAGTGATGCATAAGACATTTTTTTTTTAATTTAGGAGAGTATCTAGAGTATGGAATTTGAAGGATTATTTAGATTTATAAATTTTGGGATGCTCTAAGGCAATTGAATTTTGTGCTACACATAAACAATACTCCCTCCGTCCTGGATAGAACTTGACGTTTGATTTTGACACAATATTTTAGGAGCTCAATTAGGGCATCACCATCCATGAGATTATTAAGTGATTATTCTAGTGACATGGCATATTATTTTGGGGAGCATGGTTGAGTGAGAGAAATTATTTGACATGATTAATTGATAGAATAATCTGAGATCAAAATATGAAACCGGATTATTTTGAGATTATTTGTGAAGTTAGAGTTAATTAGTTAATAAATGACCCGCAAAAGATTAGATTATTTCGGGATGATGGTTGAATGTAATTTAGAGGGGACAAGATTATTTCTAAAACAATTATGTGGCAAATATTAAAAGGTAAGAATCACAAAAAATCAGATTGTGTTAGAAGCATGAGTGTGGATGCTCTTAATAGAAAAACAAATGACTTGCATGCCCTTTGACTTTTGGAGGGAATTAATGATATCAACTCAAATGTAAAAAGTGGGTGGGTAGTGAAGAATGGTTAAGACATTTATTGTAAAATGAGTTGCCTAAAAAGGAAATGTAAATGAGTAAATGAGACGTCCCGAAAAAGAAAGTGTAAAGATTTAAATGAGATTTAAATGAGTAAAGATTTAAGTATCCCTAACTTTACATTAAAAAAATTCAGCACCATGTAAATTTATGGTATTAATTGCATAATTTAAAACGTCTTTATTTTAATTATTGAGCGTTACAATTATATAGACTGAGGCCTGAGGGTATGTAATATTATTTATTCACAATTGAAGTTTAGAATGTTAATTATATCTTCATGAATGCTAAAATATTTTAAATTATACGATTAACATCATATGTAAAGTTTTAAATATTTAAATTACATATGTAGATTTGGAGTATTTTTTTCACATCCCTTCAAATTTTGAGGTATTTGAATTATTTTTCCCGATTTTTAAAAGTATACGAATTTAAAAAAATTAGTTGTATTAAAAATTGGAGGTAGACTTTGGAAAATCTGAAAATGTCTTGGTGTGCAAATTTTTAATCATTCGACTTTTATAATCATGACTCATGAGTTGTCGTAAACTTATAATTGTCGTTAGTATATTGGTTCTCTACAATTGTTTTATTAGAAATTGCTCTAAATAGGAGCAAAAAGGTTTTGAAATTCCAAAATAGGAGTATCATATTTTTTATTCCCTGAATAGTAGTAATCTGCCAAGTTTAGAAAAAAATGCCATGTTTTAAAACCGAGTAATGCCAAACTTGGCAGAAATTTACTCCTATTCAAGGAATAAAAACATGATACTCCTATTTTGGAATTTCAAAACTTTTTTATTCCTGTTTAGGGAATTCTCTCTTGTTTTATTCTCCCCAAATAAAGATTTCGGCGCACTTTTTTCTTTCATCTTTTACTCTCACAAATATGCATGGTTCGTTTGACTATTTACTTGGGATTATGAACCGGACAACATGTCTTGGACTTGTATCAGGACGAGAGGTGGATATGAGGATAGCTAGTCTCAATATGTAATGGTGTAAATTAAAACTTGATTCTTTATCATAATAAATAAAAACTAAACAAGAAAATTTTAAACTCATTGTCACTGCCTTAGTTATCTAGAATTTTCCATTTCCTTTCCAAAAATTTCTGTGAATTCTTTCTTTCGTCTTTTACTCTTCAAAAGTACGGATGGATCCAGTTCCATTTTCATATTGAAATCGATTAATTATTTATTCAGGATCATGAAACAGTCAGCCTATATGCAAGGTTTGCAAATTAAAATTTGTTTTTTATTATCATTTCATGATAAATAAAATTCTGAACAAAAAGATTTTGCGTCAATATTGATTAATTTAATTAGAAATTTAAAAGTAAGAACCATTTGAAGAACAATTAACATTGTCAGTTAAGGATTAAATGATATTTGTATATGAGGTTTTTTATTTTGTTGTGTTGATAGATGAATTGATTTTAATAAGACAACCAATTTATTATTATTTTTGAGTTATAATATCAATGAGAAATTTCATTTATTAATAAACATATATTTCATAATTGATTTCAAAAAATTAAAAGAAAAGACGTCTTAATAGACGTGTTAATGAGAAAAACTATTATATTCCAACTTAATGATCTTTTTTGATTGAATGTTTAAATCGTGTTTTCAATTAAGTTGTAAGTTATGTAGCACGGGAACACTCCAAAAAAAAAATGTTTTTATTTCAGAAACTCTACAAAACTGTTTGGGAACTCTCCAAATAATTGTTTTCCCATTTTCCGGTCTTTTTACATTTCCGTGCAACATAGGTTATATAAGTAAATATGATTTGATGTTTGAATGATTAAGTCCCTATTCTCCTTAGTCCTTATATTCGTTTAAGTCAAAGGTCCTACTTATCAGGTTTTGTGATAGCTGCGGGTTGAGTTGGAAGAAAAGTGAACGCAGACATTATGACACCATACTCGAACCCCAACAAATCATCTTTCTGGCATTTTTGTTGAAAATATGATTGCAATTGTAATATGGACTGGGATGATTTCCCAATTTCCTAGAAATAGCATTTATATTGGGAAAATATAATAGTAGTAGTAACCAACGTTAGCTGATCGTACAAACTCATATGCATGCACTTTACCGCTAAACATGCAGTGCTGTTACGTTAACATACTAATTCTATTCAACTCAATCTTGTGCTTAGCTAAACATCCTTATTTGCAATTATTACTACAACCTTGAGATCTTGAGCGAGTCAATAGTTATTCTAAGGGTTCAAGAAACTCGATCGTTCAATCTTTCTTTGGTGAAGCTTAATAAGGTTAGCGCATCCTGCAATAATCTGCAGTTAACAAAAGCAAATCTCCATCAAGTTTTCACTAACATCAAGTAATCCGCCCTTGCGTTTATTTACTCTTAAACCCATAAAAAGAGGGGTTAACCTTTGCTCTATATTGGACTCTGAAAATGATTACTTTTTTATGGGAAGAGGAAATTACCAGACTTTCAGTAGCTGGTAGTGGGTGCAGTGGCAGTATAATGCTTGTCCACAACCTCAATAAGCTTATTGGCAATGGCACTTGCATACACTGTTGAACCTTCACAAATCTGCATACAAACCAGATTCCTAATTATTGCAGAGTTAACAGGTCATGGGAAATAAAACAGAACACTCCACAATTATTAGATATATAGTCATTTGTAGCCATAACTGTGTTATTATGAATAAGGACAACAAATGAACTAAATAATGAAGGCATTTGGAGCAGTCAAATAACTCACACCTAAATAAAGGATGGGTTAAAAAAGAGAGTGTGTACCTTGGAGTTGAAGAGAAAGCTATAGTAATCACCAATAAGGCCACCAGCAACATGGTGGAGATCAAGCTGAAGGTCATCAAGAGCCTTAGACACAAAGAGAAGACAATTGATTCTCTTCTGCTGGACGAGCTTGACGGTGACTTCATCATCGATGATACGAACGTCAACCTCGGTGTTCTTGGATTTCCTCTGGAGCCAAGAACTCCTCAGGGCATTTCCATTGTAAGACTGGAGGTCCTTCACATCCTCTCCCGCCCCACCGCTACCATCGCCATCTGTTTTCTGCCTCTTCATCCTCTCTCTGCTGCACCTCTTCTTCTCCACCAGAATCTTCAGCTCCCCAACTGTCCTCTTCAGCTCGTTTATGTACCCAATAGCATCATGCACCACTGATGCTCTATCATTCTTTAAATCAAAACAAAAACCACAAAATGATTTATCATATCAAGAACATTAAAGCTATGGCTAGACCTTTGAGAAATGTGTGTGAGAACTAATCAAAGACATTGAAATAATGAACCTTTTCTTTTCATATTAAGCTAATTTCCATTAAAATTTATAACGTTCTCTTGAAAATTGATCCAAACAAGTTAATTATGCAAAATGTAGTTTAATAAATAAAATAAAAAATAAATTGAAATATAAGTGGGGTGAATGACTTTAAAACTATTTTGTCCAAAGTCTACCTATTTGCCCATTATTTTCAAATATATACTTTTTAAATTTATACTCCGTAATAACTTACTACGTATAATTTTACAATATATAGTAAAACAAATAGTTCAGGTGTACTTCCATGTCAAAAAATACGTCTTCATCCATTCCCCAATGAGATTCTAACCAGTGAACACAATTCCTGTCTAATACATGATTTAGAGTATCAACTATTTTCATACTCAAATTCAGTTTAAGTATATATGTGCTTCAATAAAAAAATAGTTTACTTGTTGAAAACCATATTTTAATTATTAATTCTAACTTAATCACGTAATATGCTTACTTGTTCTGTCTTTTGACAAACTACTTGAATTTTTTCTATTTGACTAAACATCACTTTCTTTTTGCAACATGACTTTTGTATGAGATGAAAAAACTGAGTAACTTTTGCTAACAAAAAGAATATACATTTATTTTCATATATACCTAAAAAAAAAGTACTCCTTGATCTGCCCTCCCTGTTCCCCGATCTCGAACAGGGACCTGAACCTTATTACCGCAGTATAGTGTTTGTTTATTTTCTTTTTGTGTACTAGAATGAACTGAAGAAGATGGGGAGAGGAATAATAATACAGTATTACAGAAGAGAGAAAGAAGAATAAGCTAATACAGTAAGAAGTTACCTTAGATGGATTGGGGACCAATCGCTTTAAAGCATCATACTTGTCATTCAAATGGACTCTCCTTTGCCTCTCAGTCGCAAAGTGTTTGGTGCCCTTACCATCTCTGTTCTTCCCCAACCCATTCAGATCACCACTGAACTCAAACACCCCCCCATTCTCAAAGTCCCGTCCATCCATTCCTGGGTAGAATCCCCCGTTCACCTGGTTTTGATCTCCTCTCTCGTCCACAACCTCCCCGAACAAAGACCCAAATCCACCGTATCCGCCGTTCTGGGGCGGCAAGGAGTGGAACAGGTCTCTCAACAGCGGTGGCTGTGGGGGCAGATTCAGAGGCAGCAGAGAAGGGTCACAGAGGACATGGCTTGAAGGTGATGCTCCGCTATCTGATGGTAGGTGGTCGCCGAACAGGCCTATTGAGTTCAAGAAATTCGAAGATGAAAAAGATGGTGGGTTCGGAAGGAGATGAGATGAAGAAGAAGAGGACCTCGGGAAAGGGAAAAAATTGTTCAGAAGATCCGGCGGTGGTTGTGGTTGATAAAGAAGATGCTGATTATTATTACCAGAACTCATCTGCATTTCGGAGAACACCATTTCTTCCCAATTCGATATCCCTTGATTGTTAATGTTAAAAATCATGCCGTCTTGTTGGTTGCTGCCCATTTTTGGCATAAACTGAGGAAGAAGAGGAGGAGGATTATTGCTATCACCATCGTCATCGTTATTGTAGCAATTCTCCATCTCGAGATTCAGTCGCTGCTGAAACTCCATTTCAATGGCGGCCGTGGCGGCCGCCGCAGAAGCTCGCTCTTCTTCCTCTCCTTCCTCTGTTCCATCCAAATGGAAGCTCTCAGGGAAGACCACATCTTCCGCTACTGCGACTGCCTCTTCCAATGTGGGATCAAAACAATTATCAGCACTCTCCACATACATTTCCCCCCTCCGAATGATAACAAAAAATCTGTTTTTCCCACTCCTAGTTCGGTGGGTCCTTGTCTGCAAACCTGAAAAACAATAATAATGAAACATGAAACCAGATCATTCAGAAAAAGGTAATAAACACCAAACTTTTGCAGCAAGAAAGCAGGAAGAAAGGCTTACTATTTTCTTTATGGGGAAGAGAAGATATCCCAAAACCCACCCTGACAATCTAAGTGAATCCACTATCAGCTTTTTGTGTGTTTTGGCCCCAAATTGAAAAAGAAAATTAATTCAAGAAACAGTCTTCTTCACAAGGGGACAAGAATCTCCCTCTTTTCTTGTTACAGAGAGGATATATATATACCAGAATGCTGGGCCTTTAAAGGGCGGGTGAATAGGATGGAGTGCTTTTGTTTCAGGATTCGGCCATTAATAGGCTCTTTGCTATGTGTATATATATATATATATATATATATATATATATATATATATATATATATATATATATATATATATACATGAATACGTATGTATATATGTATATGTATGCATATAATCCGGTTTTGTGGGGAATCACATTTTGTTGGGACAGAAATTCATTCTATATTTCTATTTGTATAACTATTTTTTGGATACATCTATATATATTAAAAATAGCTATATGTACTAACTATTTTTTGAAATGCGATAATTAAATATATGAAAAAATATATACTAGTATGTTAGATAAAAATTATCACATTTTCATTTGGTCCAAATTATATACTCCGTATATAAATTAGATGTATTTTAATGGGTTGCTAGATAAATAAATAATACCGTATATAACTAGTGATGGATTGTAAGTTCTTTCTCCTAAAAGTATATCTAGTATATTAGTTGAATTTTAGAAGTAGATCTTGCTCGAGAAATGATAACAAAACACATGATTTTATTCTTATTTTTGTGTTGAACTTTTATAAATTAATTAATATTTAATACATAGAGAACTGTAATTATTAGAAGATACTCCCTCCGTTTCTGAAACAAGTTCCACCTTTCCTTTTCGGGCAGATTCAAAATTAAGTTCCACTTTCAAACATTTCCTTATTTGGCAAATTATCTACATCAAAACAGTGTACGTGAAACAGTGTTCAAACAGTGCCAAACAGTGTTCAAACAGTGCCAAACAGTGCACTCTACAGTAAAGTCAAATTTATTTTCTTAATATGTGTGAAGTCAAATGTGGAACTTGTTTCAGAAACAGAGGTAGTAATAAATAATAAATTGTACATTTTCAAAAAATAATAATAAATGGTACAGTTACTTTGGCCTTCAGTGACTGAGTTGATGATTTTACGGGCTTACGGCTAGGAGAGTGATGATCTAATTTTGAGAGAGCTGATAAAAATGTTTTGGTTTGTTCTTTCGGGATTCGATACAAGAAAAGTGGGGACCACTTATACTCTCTTTAATGTACTCTCCTTCCACCTCTTTGATTGTCCATTATATGAAATTCTCATTTTGGATGATGGGAAAGATTATTTGAAAGATTATTATTGTGAGAGAGATTATTTAGGGAGATTATTGAAAAAGTAAATTCGATGTCAAGATTTGGTTCTCGGATTATTTTAGGTTATAGTTAAATTGCATTTAATGCATGATCTAGAAAAACTAATTATTTGAGTATCATGGTTGATGAAGAGTTTTAAGATTTGAGATTATTTAAAATTTATTAAATAAATGTGATGTGACAATGATGTGTAATGCAAAAACCATTTATTTTAATATCATGAATGGAGATGCTCTAAACGACACAAAAATGATGCTATGTGATAGATATACATCAAATTTTGAAGCCATAGATGAAATTTATACTGTAATGTTAATACTCCGTACAAACTTTTCAAGATGGAAAGAAAATGTAAAATACTCTGTAAGAAATAAAGACGTACAGAGTATAGATTGACCTTATTTCTTTGGTGAAGTTGATAAAGCAAAGATGATTATGTAATTAAAATAAAGATTACCTTTATTTGACGATGAATGTTATGATACCATAAAAATGAAGGTATCGTAACTATCATTTATTGGATTGATCCAATTTATAATCATATTATTGATTTGTTTATGTTTAAATTATTCAATTGCGATGATATTTTATTTAATTTGTAAGGATAATTTAATCGGTGGCGGAGTTGGGGTATAAATTTTGGATGTTCAATGCTCTTTTATAACTATAGAATTAAAGAGCAATAAATAAATATAATAGAATTTATACATATATGCCTACAATGTTTTTTAAAAAAAGGGTGTTCATAAGAATTACTTTGAACAAGAGTGGCTCCGCCACTAAGGTATGATACTCTCAAGTTCCACATACATTATGTAAGAAATTACATTACGCGATTGAAATTAATATATCTAACATTGAGAGAACCACTGATAACTAAACGAGATGTTCCAAGCATAAAAGAAAACTACGTAGTAGTATACTACCTCCGTTCTTAAATAAATGCAACACTTTGACTTTTACACTTTTCACATGTTCTACTTTGACTACGTTTTATTTATTAATGTAATAATATTATTTTATGAAAATAATATTGTTAAACTTGTCTCATTGTAAATTTTCATAATCTAATTTTTTTAATTTTTTTACTAATACAAAATCATTTATATTAATGGTCAAAGTTGTGTCTCGGCAAGTGTGAAATGTTGACCGTTGCATTTATTTAAGAACGGAGGAAGTATATAGTATACACATTATTACTCAGTGACTGTCCAAATAGAGTAAAATTAAAGGAGATTGTTTTCATAACCATTAAACTCGATCCATTCCGCTAATTCTACTGACCATTTACGTTCAATCATTTCACATTTAGAGGGTGTCTATCGCAAATTATATGATACACTTGCGATCCAATCTTCCGGCACGATCGGCTATAAATAAATAAATTCATGTTTTTATATGGTACAATCGCGCTTTTTGTTCGTAGTTCACAGTTCTTCCTATCACAATTTTTTCGCTCACCAAACGACTCTCCACTTGCAATCCGATCTTCAGTTTGCGCAGAGACGGTGGCTTCACCGGATGTATACTCTGGCGCTACTTACGTCTCTGGCCTCCCTCTTTCTTTTTATGCACTCTTTTCCTTTTCCTCTTTTTCTGACGCAAGTTTGGTGAGTTTGGTCGCTTGTTGGGTTAGGAGAAACCTAAGCTATACGTAGTTTTATAGATATGAACAGACACGAATAAAACTCTGAGCATAGTGGATATTTTAAAAGAGTATGATTTTTTTCGATGCTCATTTCGTAATATATGTATGCTTATTTGATATTGGTGTGATACTCATTTTAAAATGTAATACTCATGCATATTTCAAAGGAAAAATTGATATTAATAATCTCAATTATTGGCGGTCCGCTCATAATAATTCCAACTATCGATTATTTCAGAATAATCCCAACTTTAGGAACCTTCCACCAATAATGGTCCGACACGATCGGCTATAAATAAATTCATGTAGTTTCTAAAGTGGATGAGAAGAGATATAGTTAGTAATCCCTATAAATAATCCCAAATTTTAATTATTACACTTAATTTCTATTTAAAATTATTTACTTGTTATAGGAGGTAATATTTGGTCATGAACCATTATTGGAGGATGGTCCATGTAGTTGGGATTATATAAAAATATATTCAATAGTTGGGATTATTGTTAGCGGACCGAAAATAGTTGAGATTATTATTTTCAATTTTTTCTATTTCAAAAGTATAATATTGCATTAAGTTCACACATTGGATTCATACGGGTTTGTTGTAGATATTTTAAAAAATAAGAAAAAAAGTGAATTATATGATATGAAGTCGATGTCACGATACTCAAAATATCTTTCATTCCCTATTAGTAAAAAATTTAAAAAGTTCATATTTTGAAAATTTAGAATGAGAAGAATTTAATAATATTTTTTAAAAATTTACTTTTTATAATAAAATATAGTCATATAAAATATGTGAATAGTGCAAAAAGTCTAATATTACAATTAAAAGAGAACAGATGCATCACTTCCTATTGTAGCACACATTTGAGTTTGACAGGTATTTTAAGAAAATAAATGATACAACATATTATTAATCTTTTACAATTATCATCTCAAAAAAGTAAGAACAAATAGTTTGTGTTCATAAGAAGCAAAAAATTAAATAACCTATAGATGGATAAAGTGGAAAAGAAAATTTTGGTAAAGTTCTACTACTACTACTATGTACTCTATTTGATAGTGTTGAGGTCTCGAGGATTGAAGAAAATGAGATAAATGAAGTAATGAAGTATGAAAATGTGTTAGCCTACAAATGAAAGAAGGAGAGATAGGTGGAGGTCCACTACCCAAGCTAATGATTCCTTGCATGCAAGCTTGGCAGCTTAACTAACTCGAAATATTGTTAGCAACGACCCTTGGGTCAAATTCATGGCTTATTGCCGATGCATTTATGTGCCCCAATCCCAACAAATTAGTTCAGATTTATAGGACTCTCTAACGTAACTAGCCATTATTCTTATACCCCGTTTGGTGATTATGTTTTTTTGGCTCATCAATCAACTTTTTCATCAAACACGTAACTTGTGATTTTGTGTGTTGAATTGTGTAATAATTAGAAAAAGTAAGACTGCATTTACTTTTCTGACCGTATTGGCTGAAGTTACTATATAGGATGATTTTAACTATTTTTTCATGTAATTTTTTTCTTAATTTTATTATTATAATATATTTTAAATATAATTTTTTTTATAAATCAGCAGAATCAGCCAATGCAGCCAATGTAGCCAGAACTTCATAAATTTCAGCAAAATCAGTCGATTCAGCCAATTTCAATGTTACCAAACGGGTTCTTAAAAAATAAATAATTGCACGTTATATATTATGCTTATCGTTTGATGAATTATACTTTCCAATTTATCAACGAAAGCCTAAATAATGAGCAACACTCTGATATAGTTCATTTTGTTAAAGTTAGTTAGCCGTTGAATAAGCATGTTAGTTAGCTGAACAATTCGTTAGCTTGGTCCAAAAGGTGGAATCTCCCACCCCAGGAGCCCCCACCCCGACCCGACAGGATGGTGGGGAGGTTAATCACGGTGACTCAGTCAGCAAAGCGGCGGTAGGCCTTATACACGCGCGCACCAGAGGTCCAACCTTATTTCAGGTTCTGTAACCTCCACACGGCCGCTGCGGGTTTCGAACCTTGTGACTTGGTCTAATTTTCCCACCACTCGACCAACTGAGCTACCCGTGCGGGTATGGTAGTTACTCCCTTAGTCTAGCTAGGTGTGCACAATAGACAACTTTGAGCTACCTTTGTAAAAGCAGACTGTTAATAAAATCTTTTACAATTATTTGTGCATTGTAGAAATTAGGTTTCTACAAATTTGGCCT